GCCAGTGTCAGTGTATGTACTGATTCACTGAACACCAGTGTCAGTGTGTCACTGCAGTCAGTGCGCTCAGTGCAGTGGTATAACTGTCAGTAATTCATTGTTTTCACCGAAACTGCACATCCCTAACTACGACTAAATGAAAATGAATATTATTTTTAATAAAAACAAATAGGTATGTGCTAAGTTTTCTTAACGGAAAAGAAAATTATTTCGTAGTTATGCGCCTAATTAAAAACAAATCCTATCTAAATTTTAATTTCGCCTGGGACACATATATATATATGAAATCTGTGAGGTACAGTCTCTTTAACTTTGTGTTAATTATTCATAGCTTATTGTGCTAAACACACAATACTTTATCATATTTACAATTTTTCAGTTTTGTTTTTATTTGAAGATATATCCATTTTAGCATTATATATTAGGGAAAAATAAAATTTAACAAAAGTTTCCATCTGCAACTTATTGCAAAGAATACTGTTGAAACATTCGATTTGAATTAGTTTCTATCCACTTTTAAATTGGAATAACCCATTGATGTGGTCAGTATACAATTTGATAATTCAAAGATACTGTAACGACTCTTTGTTTTATTTTTATGTCGCGAATGAAAAGATTTTTTTTCCTTTGAGTATCTTACTACACACCACTGTTTCAAACCTCAATTAGCAATCGCCTTGTGTAAAATTAAAAGAAATGGAGGTGAAATGAAATAGAAAAGAAATTTCCTATTGTTCAACTCTTTATGTAGATGTTAAAAACACTCAAAGGGTACTTCTTTTGTGCCGTGGTTTGATCTGCTCTAGAGATCAAAATACTCTGTATAGTCTGAACACTCTATTTACTGAATATCTTACATTGTGTATTACATTCAATTACTTTTCCGTTTTCATTACACATAATAAAGTGTATTCTTATAAAAACCAAATTTTTAATACTATCACTACGTTTTTTTATTATTTGTTGTCTTTCGGCTATTCAAAAACACGTAATCTTTCAAATAACCAAGCTGATACAATTTACAGGTTATGTCTCAAAATTCATAAATAACAAGTTTTAAAAACTATGATAGAACCGTACATATCTGTGTGGAATATCAATTTCTTGTTTTATTCTTCTGATAAACATTTCATATTCTCCAAGGGCAAATAATAGTTATACGATTTCTTCTATTTATCATCCAGTAACTTGAATATCAATGAAAGAGAAATTTGAGTCATGAAGCACATGAATAGTGTCATATGAAAAAAACCGATGTCAAGCATATACTTTGAAAGAGAAAGCAACAGAACCCAAAAACCGATTAAATACAACAAAGTTTTGATATAAAGTTAAAGAACATAAAAATGTAAGAAAATATCTACGTATGTAGTTTCGACATATTCACAAGAAACATTTGTAACAGTAAGACATCTTCGATAAGGTATCAGTAAACATTGATCAGCAACATGACAACGTCCGGATTCAATTATACTCGTTGCAATTGTACCTACCTTCTAAATAAAAAACAATCATTTATATTTTATTTTATCAGTTAAGAAAAAAAATTTGATATCTTGAATCAATAGGCATTCGAAATAGATTATCAATATCAATATTGATACCTTTCAAAGTACCAAAATAATTTAATATACATATTTAAATGACTAAATGTAAAAGTAACAATAAGCATTTAAAAAAAAAACAATTATTTTTATTTTTCTGCAACTGACTTTTCAAGTGCAATTCGTCGATATGACAAATTAACATTAACCAACTTTAAGGATACTGCCTCTTCGTCACTACTGATGATAATGTTCGTTTTAGTTTGGTCTGCAATATATTTTATTAATATTATGTTGAATAGATAATGCTTGAATAATATAGTTTAGATAGTTATCGATTAAATCATGAGCATTGAAGTTTCTTGCAGATTATCTTATTAACAGATCAATTAATTCATAGACCGATAATATGCATTCAGTGAAAAGTTTTCGAACACAACGATCATTTATTTTTAATGACTTCCACTCAACATCATCAAGTTGAGTTTTTCTAAAAAATTGTCCTTATTGTAACACGATTCAATATCGTACATCTCTTTTAATCTCTCTTTCCTTTTTTCATTGATAATCTCAAAGTCGTATCAAAGCTACTCGACGAATATGATTAATAAATGAACTTGCAATTCGCTAATAATATTACTATTACCTTTCAACCTTGAACATGATGCAATTTAAAAACTTATACGAAAATATAAATAACTGAGTAACTTTAGCTCCTGCATTTCACTTCTTATTTTGTCAATTTTGACTTTGATGTCAGTGTTCTCTTCTTTTTTCATGAATTTTATATAACCATTGAGTAAGCAACTTTTTGATCACCAAACCTATTATAAATGAAAATGAGTGTGGATGCTACTGAAGTCTTTTCTTCACTTTAGTACATCATCATCCATACTCATAACCACAACCTTGATGAATAATTTGATCACTTTGAGTTAATGCGCTCATTTTGATCAAATGAGATTGAAGAAATTGAGTTTGGTTTATAATACTATTTTGTTCTATTGTAACTCGTTCACGTTTTGATTAATTCAATGATCAAAATACTCTTTCCCCTATATCTTCAATTTTATTCCACTTATTCTAAAAAAGAAACTTAAATAAAAAAAAAACAATTTGAATGTGTTTCTGACTAAAATTTTACAAATACTATCATGAATCTTTTCTGCAATTTTTTTTTAAATTCTTCTTTGTCAATTGTATTATTTTGTATTATTTCCATTAAAACATCAATATAATGTAATAATTCATTGATTAAATCTTTCATAAAATTCCAATCTCGATCTTCATTGAATGGTCTTGAGTTGGATGTGAGTGTTGATGAAGAAGAGACCTACGCCTCCACTCACGCCTTTATAAAGTTTCATCAAAGATTCTCAAAGTCTTAATTTGCAATTGGTTTCCAAAAATTATTTACTTGGTTTCTTGGTTAAGTTACTATAGTCTCGAAGATCTTTGATCAAACTTTATAAAAAGAAAATCGTTAGTTTCCCGCACAAAAACTCTTTCTTTTGCAGAGAAATCAAGTACCCGAATTCTCAATCACCTCGTTAGCTAATAACAGTAAGTTACCACTCTTTATAGTATTCAGCTAATATAATTATAGTCAGTCAGCAAAAAACCAAATACTGCTAAACCAACTAAATAAGTGTCACCCAAAATTATGAGTTGTGTTTCGTTTAACTTGGGAATGTAACGGAATGATTGCATTTCACCAACACTAAAATGCTTCCTTGAAACTCATTGAACCCTACCAAAAATGGTAGAATTTTTGCAGTGAAGTGCAGATATTTTAATAGCTTGTTTAAATGGTTGTGTCTTCACTCATTTTAATGATAATAGAATATAAAATTATGCGAACTATTAAAACATTAAAATTCGAACATTTTTCGATAGATCTTAGCACGTTTCGTCGATATTTGATTTTCTGTTGCGCTTTTTATAAAGGAAAAGCATCTTTGACACTTATTATTATCGACAATGTTTCTTGGCATTATGAACTAGCAGATGATACCAAACAATCGCTAAGTTAATAGCGAAAGCAGATTATAGCTAATTGGCTTAGTGATCATGATATATCACATGCAAAAGCCATTCCCACAGCAAAATTATTTAAGTTAGTTTTAAAAAAAGCCACAGAAAAAAGTTCTACGATGCATCAAGAAGCGAGACAGTATGGAATTAATAATTTACGGTAAATCAAAACTATTCATGTATATTCTATCCTAATATTTTTTAATAAGTTTACCAATGACACTTAGTACCTTGAATCTTATAAAACTAGCTTGAGTCAAAATGAAAACATATATCCACGATAGAAACATCAAATTTACTTAGACTGCGATCAGCAAATTTAATCAAGAATAGATTTTATGACTTAGATATGACGAAAACAGTCACTTCTACCAATTACGTCAAATAATACGAAACAGCATTTATAAGAGCTGACACTGATGTTGAAGAAATTCAAGAATTAAATGAATAGTGACAACGATATTTATATCATCTACCGTACAGGTGATGTTGCTGATTAATGACTTTTATGGTTAGTATCCATAAGAAACTTAAAATTCTTTGCAGTTGATCGATTTAGATTCAGAAACTTAGTCTGATGAAAAGATCAATAGAGTACAGATTGAATAGAAGTTTCGAAAATTATTGAAACATTATCTTCAAAATAAATTTAACGTATGTTTTTGATGATATTCTTAGTAGAAAAAAAAACTCTGAGAATTGATAAATCGTATCACAATCTTGAAGATTTTCATATCTTAGGCACACAAATAAAAAAAAGAAAATAGAGCGATGTTTATATTTGAAAGTGTTAAAAATACGTGTTAATTTCCTTTTGTTCTTTAAAAGTTATTCAAAAACTTCCCATATCCATTGAACTCTTGAGTGGAAATTAAATATATACTCTCATTAAATTATTTTTTCCCCACGTATTTTTCTTACAACAAGACTATGATTCATATGTTTATTTTAAACTAGATTTTGACTCTATCGATATGAATAAAAAATAAATAGAAATTTTTCATATTTTTTCTTTAATGTTTTTTTATGCGTAGTTTACTTTCAGCTTTTTATTTCAAACACAACAAAACGAAACACATCTATTTCTTATCTTTGTTGATATGACTAACATGATCTTTGAATTAATACAATAAATATAACTCGCCTTTTTTTTTTCATCGTCATAATGACTTGGTTTTCACATATGTTGTATATCTTTTATCTAGAATACAAAGATTATATTTACAGTAAAGAGTTCGACATTATTTAGATTTTGCTTTTTTATTATGCATGTATAGAATACCAATTAGCTATTATTAACGGAGAGAGAGAGTTCATTAGAATACCAATAGACAATAATTATTTTTTTCTTTATTGATTTTAGATTGATCGATTCCATCGACCCAATGGCGTCAAGTGAAACCAGTGATAAACCTCGTGTTTTTTCTGCTGTAGAACTAGTCGGTGCAGGTGGATATGATAAACTTCGACTTAAACAAGTTCCATATCGAGTACCAAATCCCAATGAAGTAGTCATTCATGTTAAATTTGCTGGACTCAATTTCGCCGATTTAATGAGACGGTGAGAAATACTTTTCTTTTTAAATATTTTCTTTCAATATTATTGGACTATTTTGTCTATTATAATAATTGTTTGTATAATATTAGACAAGGTCTTTACTCACCGGTACCTAAATATCCATATGTTCCTGGTTTTGAAGCATCAGGTATTGTAGAAGAGATTGGTTCAGATGTTTCCCAGTTAGCTGTTGGTGATCGAGTTGTTACATTTGCTGGTGATGGTATGTGGGCTGATGTTGTAACTGTTCCAAGTGATCATTGCTTTAAAATGCCTGATGAGATGTCATTCGAAGAAGGAGCTGCTTTACTTGTTAATTATATAACTGCTTATCAGATTTTATTTGAATTTGGAAATTTACGACCAAATAAAAGTGTACTTATACATATGGCAGCAGGTAAAGGAAAGAAAATATTGTTGTTTTCTTTTTCTCATCTTCAATTTTAATAATAGGTGGTGTTGGTATTGCGGCTATTCAACTATGTAAAACAGTTGAAAATGTAACAGTGTTTGGAACAGCGTCCAGAGCAAAACATAATATTATCAAAGAAGCAGGATGTACATATCCAATTGATTATCACACACAAGATTATGTAACTGAAATTCGTAAAATTTCACCTAATGGTAAATAAACAAAACAAAACCATTTCCATTTCCATTTTCTTATCACTTGTATTTCTTGTTCTAAAGGTGTTGATATAATTATGGACCCATTAAATG